TGACAGGGTTTATTTAAAGAGTTTTCCAGTTTCTGTAACCTACAAGAAACTTCTTGTAAAAGGGGGCAAGACTGAGCAACCAGCAGCTGTGGCAGTCACAAGTACAGGTGATGGGCAGGTTTCAGCTTCAGGGTCTATCCTAGCACTGAATTAGAAGCACTGAAAAATAGTAGAGGGTTTCTCCCTGGTTACTCTCACAGACATATTCCTAAGAAGCTGAGCTTAATATCTCTCCAAAATGAAGGCAGTTTGAATAAGACTCCTTCAGCAATTGTTAGGAAAAAAATGCAGAATTTACTTCGACTGAGAATTAACAACTTGAACCTTAATATTATATGACTGGACTCTATAATCACTGTTTTTCTTTTTGATTTTTTTTTCAAAGTTGTTTTTAGGCTGATCCTGATCATGAATCGTAACTTTGTTCCAAGAGGAAGAGAAGATCCCACACTTTTTTGCTTTTCAGAGACTTTTTCAGTGACTTTCAGACTAAGAGCCCTCAGGACTTACTGAATCTCATAAATACAGTCTCACTTTGAAGTCTAGACTAGAGGAGTTAACTGTACGCCCAAGTGAAATGCTCACTTTTTTTTCCCCTTGAATATGAAACTTTATTCTATATCTAGGGATCCTACTACTTTATTGGAGAATTGAAGCAAGCACTGCTGTAATTAATTCTTTCAAAGAAGCAGCAGAGAGCTAGGCCATATATGACTTCTGCCATCTCAGAAAGATCTAGCAGAGAATTAAGCCTCTAAGCCAAAGGTTAAATATGTCACCTGTAAAGTGGGCACTCTTAGGAGGAAAAAAGAGAAGCTTGACCTTGGGGTTTAGAGACCTGGGACACTGGAAATAAATTATGATCAAAATTTTGTACCAATTTCTAAGCAGAACTGACCAAAAGAGCACTCATTACCTAAAAGATCTTTGATATTTACAGAAACAAGAATTGACAGATGATTGAGGAAATGGGGGAAAACCAAGATATTCAGAGAAAATATATTCTAGTTCTCTTAGGATTTTAACCTGGCTCACACACTAATTAAAATCTCTATTGTGGCTTAAATTCAAAACACTGTAGAACATGAAACTGCACTGAATAGGATTTTCAAGTGTACCTTTGAGAGGTAGTGATTTCTAGGCAGGAGGAAATGTCATTCCTTATTCTACAATGAAAGTGGACCTGTAAATATTTTCTCTAGAAAGAACTGTCTATCAGTAACTGTGTACTCCTGGAGGAGTTTGGGATAGGTTGGTTATCTATATTTGACATTGGATTAGTTACAAATAAATGAGGTAGAGACACACTGGGGATAAACAATGCCATGATACTTGAACTTCTAAATGGCAGAAAGCAAGCCAGAAATTTAAGATCTGCTAGGACTGGGGAGAAAGAGGGATTGAATATAAAAGACAGAGGCATTTGATGGTGAAACAGTATCTAGGAAGTGAGATAGGAAATGGAGATTGTTTCCTTGCCCAGAAATATGAGAACTAAACCATTTTCTGGCAGCAAAAAGAGCCAGAGTACAGAGCAGAAACTGGATGGGCTTCAAGAGCTTGAATGAATAGCGGGAGGGATAATAGCAGAAGATTGCAGGGTATGCAGCATGTGCAGAAAGCATTCTGAGGCACAGGGGACAGGGAGAGGCTCTGAGAAGGGAGCAGAGATGCAGGCAGACATTTATGGAATTTCAGATACTGTATGCAGGCAGGGAATAATACAGAAGGAATTATTTCATAGATCCTGGATGGGCTGTCCAAAGAAAGAATGAAGAAAACAAAAATACTGCAAAAAGGTGGAAAAGATGGAAGTGGGAGGGAGGGGGAGCATGAGGGCCAGGAAATGTGGGAGGTATTTAAAAATAAGTGAAGGAGTGGGAGAGGCAAATACGGACAGTAAGAAGAGAGGGAAGGAGAAATTTTACTATAATCTGTAAGTATGAATCCACTGAAAAAAAAATTTATCTAAAATAAACCCAAAACAAATATAGTATCAACATACAATGTTATATACAGTTCTTTACATCTTTTATCAGATAGTCCCTAAGCTCTCTGCAAAGCTAGAATAAATAGGATTTGAATTCTCTGCATAATTTGTCTTAGAAAGGTGGTCAATAAATTCACTATTTAAACAATATTCCCAATGTATTAAGTCAAATCCCAGTTTATGGATTTTGTGAGGTACAATATTTTGTTGCACTATCTGTGCAGAGAGACTCCACTCTGAGAAAATGAACTACATCTCTTTGTGGCCTGTGGTAAATTTCAAAGTTATGCTACAATTTATTACTATATTTTAAAATTATGTAATGAAGAAAAAGGAATCAAACACAATCTCTCAGCTGATGGACCCCACAGGCGAGGAAATGCGTCACACGGCTCCTATGTCTCCAGTGGTATGAATTATTTCAGCCTGCTGGAGAAGAAGAAAAGAGTCGGGAAAGAGCAGTAAAACTAAAGAGTGAAACCCAGGCATCTTTGCTGGCCACAACCCAAGCAGACTCGATGGGCCTGGTGCATAGATGGTTGTGTTGTGCTCTCTGGCCTGTCATGCATGTGGTCAGACCAGAGAGTCTCTACCAACATATTCAGTAGAAGACAACATGGAAGATGAAAAGCTATCAGTGAGAACTAGGATACAAGAAAGAGAGTAACAAAGATGAAAACTGATACTAGTACTTATTTGTTAAAAAACGGATTCTCATTAATAGATTTAAAGTAACTTTCATTAATCCCTTTACAAATGGGAAAGTAAGTTTCATTATTCCCTTTACAAAGGAGAAAACTATGTTTAGTATTTCCATATGTTATAAATTACTGTCTAATAACATATCCAATGATATGATATCAGGAGCATTCTTCAGCAAGTTACAGAAGCCCAAGGTGTCCCTTGATTACCATCAGGGTAGCTTTTGATAGCTTGATTCTTTCTAGTCTTTAATGCTGACATCTCCAGCCATAAGTTTGTTGGCCTGTTTATATATGGATACATCCATTGAGGATTAAAGAATTATTAACATATTTTCTTGAACAAATTATATTTGTTCTTGGCATCTGTTTGAATACTGGCTGGGATGGTTTCCTGGTTGGCTTTGGAACACAAACTGCTTGGGCAGACAGGGGGTAGATTTCTCATGACTGTTTTGTCCTCAGAATGCCTCACAAAGCAAGAATTTCCAAACCATCAGACATAAATCTCTCTCTCTTCCTTTACCAGCAGTGTTAATACGTTTTGAAATAATAGAGGTTCAAAAGTTCACTAGGAAAAAATTGGTTTCATTACTCATGGAAAAAGCTTTTATTCGCATGTAGCTGTAATTTAACATCATGTTAACGTCAGCAGAGTACATGACACAGTAAATGTTCACGTGTCTTTACTAAAACTCTGCTAATTCTAATCTAATTAGTAAAGCACATTGATGATTTCTACAGCCTTCTGTATCACGTTCTTGCTGGTTTGCTCAGGCTTCTCCAGGCCATTTTTGTTTGAATTGGGATGCTGGTAGTTTTCCTTGAAATACAGATGTCCTGAGTGACTGCATTAGCTGACTGTGACAGCAAAGATTCTCAGGCTCTTGGCAGCATAATTTCAGAAAATGCACCTGGAAATTTTCATGGTCTTATAATCAAATAAAGAAGAGTTTAAATAGGTTATTTTGAAAAAGATTTGGGACTTGCTGCTGGAGTTTAGGTTTCTGATTTTAAAGTTGAGAGGGAGAATAATAACCTGCTAGAGTAAGAGAAAGATCTGGCATCTATGTTTGTAAAAATCATATTAGATTTCCTGAGAAAAATGAAAATTCTGAGCAGGCTTCCTTCCCAAAGGGACTCTGTCCCTTGCAAGAGCCTTCTGCTAAGCTGTGATTTTGCTCCCTGACTGGAAATAATCCTTCCCTTGTTTTTATACTCAAGCCTGGATTCTTTCTGTGTCTGCTGTGCTGTTCCACTCTCTGCTTCTTTTCTTGTCACAAGAGGCCAGCAGTTGTGACATTTAGGGGAAAACAGCTCTTGTATAGAGTATATTGCTCCATTTCCCTACCTCCGGTCCTGCTGCTCGCTACAGTGTGGCAGTGCATGGTGCCAGGCTCCCTTACAGATGTTACACATCCACTTCAAACCTCTTGCTGCAGCTGCAGGGAACAGAAACATCTCCTGAGACAGCAGGATAGGCTTTGCTGCCCTTGGAGTGGTCTGGCTGTGGCTGGGACAGCCTCGCCATGGCTGTGCTGAAATGCACAGCCAGAGCTCCAGGCGTGCTGGGAGCGTGCTCACCATGAAGAAGGAGGTTTTGAGAGGGTGGCGGGGGTCTACGTCTTCCTGAAAATCCTAAAAAGGGGATGGGGCGAACAGAGGAAGGACACTGTACTTAGCTAGAAGGAGGCTGGGTATTTTCCTTGCCTTCACCTCATCATTTCCTTCCTCGCAGCGCGATGCTCGGCAGCCCTGCTGCTGCTGCAGCCTTCCCGACAACTCTCTCCGTCTCCCCGCTGTTTTGCCTCCGGTGCTGCGGCTCCCCTGCTCGGCACCAGCATCAAGGGCTGGGAAGAAGCCTTTGGGAAAGCAGCGGGGCCTCCAGGGCGTTTGCTGGCAGCGATCCCCCCGAGGGCCGTGCCAGCCTCCAGCTGGCAGCTGTGCGCTCCCGGGAGCGTTTGGTGAAAGTGCCAAAATACAGATGCTGCACAGCCACCGGGCTGGAAATTTCCCACAGGAGCTGACCACACTGCTGCTCTTTTACCCGACTAGGCAACCCTGCCCAGGATGTCTAAATTAGTCCCTTTTGGAAACTTTGCGTTTTCCCCAATATAGAGAAATCTAGATTATAGCCAGCCACCAAAAAAATTACCAATCTTTGTATGAGTACAGTGCTCAAACCAACTTCTGTATTAATCCACTAGGAAAAGACATTAATCTATAACAAGAGCTCTCAATGTTTTTAAGCTTTCTCTATGCCCCTAAAATGCTAAAACACCCTGTTTGTCCTTTTGCCTTGTGTTCAGGACTGTGGATGGGGTGAATGACGTCTAAAGTTTTCTCACAGAGCCTGAAAAAGCAGTGGAGAACCCAGTTAAGTGCAGAAGGAGCAGTGATGGGCAGTGGACAAGATACGATGATGAAGCTGATAGGCTACAGGAACTAAAGCTGGGAGAGATCAGTATGAACTGGTCTGGTATGTATGGTTGGAGCTATCACCCTAAGAGACAGTTTGAGTCCAAGATAAAGTGTGTCAGTGTGAATTGTGAGGCACTGTAATTAATGTCAGGCTGAAAGGGTCAGAATAATTTATAAGACTGAGAAGATACAGGGTTGAGAAGCATACTATTAATTAATGTTGAGATGGTAGGCATGCAGGATTGAGGATAAGGCATCCAGATTTAGCCACTTGGAACTGAGGGAAAAAAATGAGTCTTTTGTGTGACCAAACAGGTCTGTGCAAGTGTATGTAATTTATGTGAGTTATAGGCTATTTGTCACGTTGCAAAACATTGCCTATTTTGAAATGCTAATGACATCTTGCATCACTGGGCCAAATTCTGCTTCAGATACACTGGTGTACTGACAAACTCACCAGAACTGCTCAGACAAGACAGTGAAATGAAAGCAATTGACTTTTTAATTTTCAGAGTCTTATTGCATAGCAATCAGCAATTGACAGCATGTTGAAAACATCTACATTGCAGTTATTAAATCAGATTTTTTCCTAAGCGACAGAAAGCTCGTGAAAAATCCTAATGTCTGCCTGAAATCACTTACCTCTATTCTCACTGATGAAGAACCACAGACACCCATAAAATTACTGCAGAATGATATTGATAAAGGGGAACTATTTTATCCAGAAGCATAGAGTGCAAAATCAAATCCAAAGGAGATTTAGGCTCTGTTTAGTAGAGGTAATTCAGAAGGACGTTTGAATCCCTTCTACCCGGATGCAGATGGAAAGGGGCACTGTACAAGGCTGAAAAGAGATGCATGCACACTTTCCCCAGCAGGGCCTGCTGTCTCTAGGACCCATCTTGCAAAGGCTGTTGCAGAAAGAGGAAATGCAGTGGTGCTGCCTGGATTGGGCAATGGTCACTGGCTGCTGCTCCAAGGCCATCAGCAGAGATCTGTCTAGGACCTGTCTTCTAGGGCAGCATATGGTTTGCTAAACGGTTTTGCAACTGGGGGATGGCACACATCCAGGTGGCTTTCAGTCCCTGCCAGAATTTTAAAGAGATGTTAACAATGTTTACACTTTTCAGTTTTGACAGTCTCTGAAAATTACCTATTTAAACCTTCTCTCCCTTCCTGACAGCACAAAATCCAGCTCCTCTTTCAGATGCAAAGTGCCCCAGTGCTTTCTGAGTTCTTATTGCAGGACTCAGGAGAGAAATCCGGTGATTTCTCAGGAAAGAAATCCACCACTGCCCCTCTGCCCCACCACTGGAGCCTTGGTCAGTGCTGCAGCTCTCAGTGCCCTGTGCCCATGCCACCCACAACCAAGAACTGGGAACATTTCAGCAAATTCAGAGCCTCAAAGCTGTTTGGGGGAATAGCAGTGGGATTCTAACAGCTGGGTTTTTTTCTAATGTTCAGCCTTTCGTTAGGAAAAAAAAAGGGTGATTGTTTTTAGGAGATCTATTAATAAAACAGGTGCAAATGAGAATTTTGCTTGCTTGTCCAATGTGTTAGTCTTGATAGTCAGCTATCTCCAAAAATAAGGAATTCCCCCTCATTACTAGATCAGGTATTTTCCTCTCACCGTTTTCCAAATATACATAACTCTACTGTCAAAATTATGAAGACTGATTTGTACAATGTTACCACCAGAGTAATAAAAGCCATGGAAAGCAACTCTCTCACTAAGTTTGGAAAAGGAAGATAATGAGGCTTCTGGGAGATGCTGGTGGTGGAACACTGCAGCACACCAGGAGATGTTAAAATTAAATGTAAGGACCAGCCCTTTTTGCAAGGTTAAGGACAGACACCATAGCCAGACTGTTTCGTTTATAAATGGACATCTGGCAAACATTGATCTACAATAGTATTTAGTGTGTAATGGAAAGTACAGGTTGTTACATGAGCAATCAATAGTTTTTTAGATTATTGATCCTTACAGTGGCTATTGACTGGTTTTTAGGAGATAGCAGTCTAGTTTTTCATTTAGCTTAGCTTAAAATAATTGGATTGCAAGTTGTGTGCCTTTATATGTGGAAGGGATTCAATATGCAAATATTGTCTCTCATCATTGACAACATATAAAAAATACTCACTTTTAAGTGTTCTTCTTCCCTGTTGTGTAGTAGGACTACTCAAATATAATTTTAATAAGATGAAAAATTAATTTGGCTTCAGAAGAGTGCAGAGGCCACCATCTCCCTTTTGCTGTGTGACTAGAATATTTTTATCAAAAAAATTCTGTTAATAAAGTCAACTGTTAGAACGAACACATAAGGGATCTAACTGATTTCTCTAGACATGTCATGTTATCGCTCACTTCTCATCCCAACTGATATAATTGTTTGCTTTCTTCTGCAGAGAAAATATGCTGTTGCCTACTGCTTGGGGACTTTATAGAAGTCTCACCAAGTACTCTTGAGTGTACAGGATTTTATGAACTGTAAAAATAAGCTGATAATATTTTTTGCTCAGTTAAAACAAGCTCTGTGTAGGGAAGGACTGGCATACAAGAAATGTCAGTAAACTACGAGCCAGGTCATGCCTTGAGGTGTTAGTTCTTGTGATGGCTATTTATATTTCAGTGCAGACTGGAGTCTTTCTTTTGACCAAGGCATAATATTCCCACTAAAGGCAATTGCCAGCTAATGCTCCAGCCACCCTGTAAATAAGTTAATCCTATGTTTGCATTTGGTTCCTCCTGCAGGAGCTAGAAACAGAACTGAGGCGTTTATAGTACAGACTCGATGCTCATCTCTGCTGACTTTCAGAGTAAATAAAGAGTCAAATGTATGCATAGAGCAATGCTATTTATGTTATCTAGACAAGCTGAGAATGCATCATTTTGCTGTACTGCATTTTCTCAGATCCAAGAAAGCAAACCACAAATCTTTCTGCTGTTATCTAGCAAGTAACTCTATACCACTACTAAATCAACAACAGCAGGGAATGGAACTATTTTTCAGGTGTCATATATATCCCAGTGCTCTGTCTGTCCTGAAGGTCATGTGTCAAATCATTCTGGGAACAGATTTTTATCTAGTCTAAAAACATTAATCACTTACAATTCAACTTCTAAGCCAAGCAAACAAAACTCAGTCTAACAGAAGTGTAACAAATTGAAAGTTTTCCATATAAATTTAAATAAAAACTGTCTTAGAAAATGATGTAATTTGACCACTGCAGAATCAAAGAAATAGGCCAATGAATATTCTGAGATTTCAGTCTTGACATTGTTGTAAAATATATTTGTGTAGTACACAAATATATTTTGTGTATTACACAAATATATTTTGGGGCTATTCTCTGGTTCTAGTGCATACCTTTGTATTTAAGAATTAGGCATTAACATTTCATGTTGTGGTAGGATTACATGGGATATTTGTTTATAATTAAAGATTTCCCCCTTGTTTTGCAGTGAAAAAACTGCAGAAGCCTTCAGTTTCTTATCTTAGTATTACATAAAGGCGAACTTGACCTACAATGTGAAATTTGAAACTGAATCAAAACTACATAAAACAATCTAAAGTTAGGATTGTTTTTGGTCAGGATCTAGAGTCAGACCTTTCTTAAATGCATTTTGATTGCAGATGAAGGGCTGCAAACCACCCCTCCCTCTCAGTGATTATTTTATTTAGAAGAAAGTGTGGGGTTTGATTTGATCTGGGCCCATCTTTAATAACTGCTGTCAAAACCAAAGATTTTTTGGAAAAATTGCCAAACTTTCTTGAGTTTTATTGACATCAAACCATGAAACAAAACAGGAAAAAGAGCTTTGTCATACAGGCAGCATTTTAGTGTTCAGGACACTGAAAGTACTTTAACTTGATGTCTCTTGCTGCTTCATTAGTCTTGCCTTGATTGTAAGATAAAGGTTTATGCAAGTGGCTGTAGGACCTAAAAGGCTGTTAATTGTTTGAAATGTCAACTGAAGCAGCTTTCTTTCAGAGTGTGGTCTATTTTAGCATTATAAATTCATTTTGGATGGGAGCTCCTCTATTAGAGAAGTGGTTTGGCTTTTTTCAATCTGTGCCTTCTATGAAGAAAAACCCCAGCATTTTAAGCATTTAAATGACTTCTGGGCAGTAGCTATTTATCTCACAAGACTGTATTTCAGGACATCTTTATTTTCTTTGAGAAACTCTGCAAAAATACAGTATAATGTCATTTATTGCTGGTTGTGCATGCAGAGCAATATTGTTCTGTTGCCTGGTAACCAGTGAGAGGGAGGCACTTTGGAAACACTGATAGAAAAAGAGAAAGAGAAAGCTCAACTGTACACACTTGAGTAGAAGACTTATAAAACTGGTATTTGTTCCAGGTAGATTTGAAGAGGAGTTTGGGTCAAGGTTCTCATAGGGTTTTGTAAATTTTTTTGACATCAAAAAGCCCAGCAGGACATTTTCTTGCACTGGAATTTAATGGCCAGGCTTATTTTTTCAAGCCATGTTTACAATTTGTGTACTTCAGAAAGAGAAGTGTTCCTTTTTCCTTCACATGCATTCTTGAATACTTTTTGAAGGTGTGTTCTGCTTAGAATAGCACATTGATAGTGTTCTAACAAAACAAGCATGCAGAACTGTTTTGAACTGATATGTTATGAACTGAGAATGATCATGGACATATTTTCAAACCCAGAGTGCTCTGACAGTTTCTGAATTAGGGAGCTCCTAGGCATCATAATACAAACAACTAACAGACAGTAGATTTGCTGAGTCCAACAAATAATCACAAAACACACCCAGAAAATATCTTCACTGGAGTTCAGTCTGGCCATTGCTTCCTGTTTAACAAGCAATAGAAAGTCAGCATAAAATCGAGGCAGAAGAGATGAGCTCACAGGAGCCAGTTTAACCTTTGGCCAAGCTCAGACAAAGTGCTGGTGAGGGTTTCCAGAGTGTGGGTTATTGTGCTGTTCTTTGATGCCTCCCTGGCTTCCTGCCTCTGACCAGTGCCAGGGCAGACGGTCTCTGCGTGGCCCTTCCTCGCCACAGGGAGAGCAGGAAGTGCTGCAGGGCCCTTCATTGCTGCAAGATTTACAACAGAGTTCTGAGAAGTGAAAAGGGCTGTGTAGCCCAAGTGTGATTGGAGATAGCCTTCCAATTTCAAGGTGTTCATTTGAATAGAACTGAATGTAAATTTTATTTTTTTCTGGAGGCTAGTTAAACTCAGAAGTATTGTAAACCTCGTTGACTTTACCTGTGGAGTAGTGCTTTACTGCTTGTGAACATCAGAATTCTGAGAAAGAGGAGGTGCACACTCTGCATGTTGATCACTTCACTGATTACCAGCTACTGGAAAAATTAAGGTCAGAGGTTAACTCCTCCATTATAACCTTCTGTGGCATTCTGCTGGAGGCAGAGAGCTCATGGACAGTATGATGAAAGCATGAAGAAGATGCCCTTTATATTGTTGTGTTAGTTTTTCACATTTCCTCTTCTAGAACAATTTGAAGATCATAAAAATACAAGTAGACAAGCAGTAGAAAATTCTAATTAGGATCTCACCAATTATTACTTCCTGTTTACTTATATGGGTATTGCATACATATCAGAACCAAGAAGAAATTTAGCTCTAATAGAAAGCCTTGGAATTTTTTCTAAAATTAATCTAAGTTGTTTGACAGATGTCTGGAGGAAACTACAAGATAAACCCTGTTGTTGTGACTCTGTGATAATACTCCTTTTTAAAAAAAAATATTTTCTCCTAGCAGAGTGGTTCACTGAGATCTCAAAGCCTTGCTCTCAGTATGTCCCAGCAGAAACAATTTACAGACCCCTCCACATTTCGGAGAGGTCCAAAAGTGCCACACAGAGCTGAACTTTCCTGTGAAACATCATAAAAGATGTATTCTCTTACTTTTCCATGCTTTGTACCTCCAAGAAAGAACCTGTAAGTGATGACAAAATCTCATATTTTGTGAATTTCTGTTAATGACCCTACTTAAGAAATGTAATGAGGGCACACAGCCATTCAGTCTCTACAGAGGAAGAATAAAAACAAAGTCTGAGTTATGTTTTACGCCATTAAAAAATGGACCTGCTGGATTATAGGGCAAAAAGCAGCGTTCTGCTTCCATGCTGCAATACTAGTTTATGACTAGAGAGGCAACATAGTGCCAAGGTATCTTGATGTCATTTTTCCTTCAAAAGTTCTAGCAAGTTTGTGGTCTGGTCATTTGCCCTGCTGTACAAAGCACACTGCTTCAGGTGTTTGCCAGAGAGCAAATGAGGGGTGACAGAGACTTAGCCATATCTGTGGGGCAGGTTTGGGGTCACACTCAGACCCCAGTGTGACCTACCCTTGCAATCTCAACAGACGAAAACACTGCATGGAAACACAACATCAACTAGAAAACAAATCAAATTAGAAACACCTTATGTTTACTGGAAGTAATTGTGTACCTTTTACATGGGATTGGATTAAAATTTGAGACATTAATTATTCACTGAATATAAAATTGCATATTTCAAATAATCTGGAAGGCAATTATTATCACATAAAATATTTGTATAATAATAGTAATTGCATATGATCTTGCAAAGGGTTCAATCATTCAAAGTGTTGAATAGTGCGTGTCCATTGAACAAAATATTTCAGGACAGGTTTAGCTTTACACAAGTAAGCAGTCCAATTGACCTCACTAAGGCCACTCATCTACTTAAATGTCAATATGTATCTAAGTGCTTTCCTGGATTAGGGCCAGAACGTTTTGTCTTTTGTAAGACAAGGTCCTGAGAAGACCTGTTGCAAATGGCTGTAGTCTGCAGAGCCCTGGAAAGGAGAAGCAAAATAAAAAAGGACAGTATCACATTATAACTTAGCTGTTCATTTATTTAAGGAATGTATTTTATCATTAATGATTGGCATTATTGCAGACAGCATTATTGCTATTTAAAGGCAGTAATAGTAGGAAATATGATCAGGTATTTGAAACATGGAACAGGCCTGAGAAGCAAAGGGACTGTGACAGAGATAGTGACTACCTTTTCAGTGACTCAGAGTTATGGAGTTCTCTGGAAATAATTTTGCATCATTATTTCCATCAATAGTAGGGGACTAACTTGTGCATTACTGATTCTGCAGCAATGGAGCTTCAAAACCAGCTTGCCTGAGGAAGGAGTACTCTCCCTCTGGATTCTTATCTCCCTGGAGAGACTGAAGTTCATGAACTGCTGTCCATGAAGGTCCGTGGTAGAGGATTGCTCTTAACCCCATAAAAAAAAATTAAAATCTAAATATCAGTGATTGTCTCCTCCTTGATGAAAGTGAATATAAGGTAAGCCCAAGCATGTCACTGTGAATGAAATAGAATTCCCTCAGGGTAGCTAATGCAGCTGTGGTTTTGCAGGTCATACTCTCAGTTGGTGTGGCCAACCTAACTTCATGCTCATATAAATAATTGAGAGTGTGGCAAATTTCTCAACTACTGCCTTTGTACAAGAAAATAAAATGTGCTGTATGTAATTCTTCTTATTTTCAAAGCAAAATACAGATATTCAGATTATCTTGGTAGTTTTAATTAAATCGCTGCTTACAAGATGTAAAATATGAAATGTCAAGCTGCTGCCCAGCACTTTTTGCCTCTCTGGGGATAACTGTCTTGTTTGTGTAATAATAGCTTTTTGCCAGTGTGAGAGCCAAGAAATGAGTATACCAGCTATGCCTGACTATATGTACTTCCACACACAGCTAGCATGACTCTTTATACTCAGGAGAGCAGAGGGGAGCCTTTAGCTAATTATAGTCTGCATTTGAAAGGAAAGCAGCTCTGTATGTAGAGTGGAATGTTTTAATACTTGGTGGATTTGTAATGGTCAAACTGTTGTTTCAAAATGTACAACCAAGATGGATGCTTTGCTTTGCCTGTCAGGTATTTCAAGAAAATTTGTGCTAGGGAACTGAAAGGTCAGTCTTCAGCTACAAGGAAAAGGAAGAATTACTATGGAGTATATCTGTATATCTTACACTAGCGCTATCTAAATTTAAAAATATACTAGACAATTTCAGGAAAACTAGTTCACATATAGTGAAACAATTGTAATGCCTTAGGGTAAAGATTTTTCTTCCACTGAATAAATTTCAGACTCCCACTGGATTTATAAGTCATTCACATATCAAAAATCTTAAGTTGATTTCAAAACTCAGAAATTCAAATAAAGCACCTATTTAAAGTACCTACTGTTTTTCTGGCCAATTTTTCTCTTTTCCTTGGACAACTCATGTTTACATTTACAACCAGTATTCGTGAGGTGGTTTCCATACTTGGTACTGGGGAACAGTGCAGTATATTGTTCTTTAGCTTCATCTGCTCCTTTCACATAGCTTGTCTCGCTGGAAACATCTATTTCATCTGCTTCATGTAACTTCACCTATGTTCTTTTTCCCAAGAGCACAGCTTTGTATTTTATTGGGAAAAGCAAGAATACTCAGAATGTGAAAAGAAAGAAAACAGTTGTGAACGTGTGTGTGTGTGTGTGTGTGTGTGTGTATGTGTGTGTCTGTGTGTGTCTCTGCGCACACAGTCATAATTCAGAAATCCTGCTGATAAACAACATGAAACAAAGCATTATTAATAATTCAAGAAGCTAGGCAGCAGGAAAAAAAAGCCAAAGAAATTGTTTTTTCTCCCAGACGAACAAAATTTAAGGAATTTAGGTGGTGCCTCTTCAGTCAGAAGAAATTACTGAAATCAGCAGAATTGAGAGTTCTGAGATAACTGGTGAGAAAAAGAGCTGGACATAGTTTTGAGGAGTTGGGTTAAACACACCTGCACTTCTAAATGCCCAGGGAACCTTTGTGAGGCTTTAAAAGATAGGAAGTAACTTATTACTTAAGTAATAGACTGTGTCCATTAATTCAGTGTCTGAATTTCACTGCCTATCTTATGTTAAAATGCTGTACTTAACAAAGATTAATCAAGATAATTTTCCTTTCTTTGACACCCTTTGCATCCTTATTATAGTTGAGACTTCAAATAAGATTTAAGTGCTTGATGTGCCTTAAAATAATTTAAACAAATGAAAAAACAATGTAGAAATCAGTGGGCATACACTGGTGAATCCTTTTGGCATACACAGTGCCCTCTTCACTGCTCTTTATCCTAAATTCCTTCCAGCTACACACATAGGATGCAGAAAACACTTTTCTAGTGAAAGATGACCAAGTGCTCAGGAAGATGGTCAGAAATTTTGGAGGTCCTGATTTCTAAATTCCCCAGAGAATGTCTGTGTGGTCTTTTGGGAGGAGATGCAAGATCACACTGTTTGTGTTCCAAACTGGATGGCTACGTGCCAGCTCTGAACTGGATCCATACATTTATATGACTTCAACAGCAGCAAGCAGCAAGCCCATGTTGACTGGGGCTTTTAGGCTTCTCTGTAACACAGTACAAATATAATTAATTAAAAAAAATTAAAATCAGTAATTTGATCTCATTCTTCATCGGCAGTTGAATTAATGTCTTGTTTATTACTTAGTAAGAACTTAGGAACTTCAGGGGAAAAAAGAAAGAATTTTAAATAGAGCAAAAAAGCAGCATCTCTTTCCACAGAAAGCGAGTTTATTAAGTACTGAAATGAGCAATGTCAAATAGTCAAGCATGCATTTAGGCCTCAGCTGCTTCTGCTGGACAAAACACATATGGAACATATCAGTGTTGGCAATGTAATCTGCAAGAGAAAATCCCTTCTTCAGCTTGTGTCTTGTGTCTGTTGCTTCCTTGTTGGATCTGAATGTGAGGAGCTCTTGCATTCATAATCATTCCATGTGATCAGTCAAGTTTCCTTCTTCCCCTCTACAGTCATAACCTTTGGCAGCTAAGTTAAGTTATTTGAATTTTATTTTAATATTATATTTTAAGACTTTCTTTGCAATAATATATTTTTCGTCCATATTATCAATCTTATTTAATTGCCTTCTGTCTTCTTCTCTCTTTAAATTTGTTTTTCAATTCTAATGACTAACAGATCTTATTCTCTTTCTGCTACCATGGTTCCTTGGCTTTATCTCCCTCTGTAATTTAGACTTTTTCTTTCCACCATTGTTCACTTTTCTTTTTTCCTGTGTCTATATTAGTGCTATGGAATATGATAACAGTAATCCTGAAACTTACTATAAGTAAAGGTTAATGTTTTTACCATTATGTCTTATTGTCCTTCTCTGCTGTCCCTTTTCATAAATTATCTTCATTCATTCTCTTCCCCTACTATTTTCCTAACTTTTCTGGAGTTTCTCCTGTCCTTGAGCAGTGACTTAGGAATGCTCAGAGGACTGAACTTCATTGCAACTTCTTATCTTAGATGGAGGAGGAAAAAGCAATTTGTACAATGAATTCAGGAAAAATGTATAGATCCCTACAGAAAGGGGAACTTGGATGAGAAAAGGAAGGATGGAAGGGCTTTTTCTGTACAAAAAGGAGTTAGAGGAGTGCCAGCTGCAGCAACTTTGTTTTCACAGCCTCCTGATACATGAAGTCAAAATGTGAGAGAACCAGAAAATCTTCAAATACTGCTTAGTTTTACTGTTATCCCAACAGAGATTCTCACTCTTGGTGACTCTTCTTCCAGGAGTAGGTTGCCATAGCAAAGAACAGAACAGAAGCTGGGAATTTCCTTCTGGTTTTTGGCAGAAGAAAAGTGGTACTTTCCCTTTACTTCAGCTGCTGTTTACTCAGAAAGTGAGTATATTTAACTGTATTAAGGCTATATATTAACAGAGAGGTCTTGCACATAAATATATTTTTTTGAAAATTCAGAGAGTATAGGAAAAGTTACATTAGTGATCAGGACCCTGAATTTCATGTCTGGTTTATGCAAAATATAGATGTTTCAAAGAAATTAGGAAGTCTATTACCTGTCTACTGACTCATGTCAGTTTGTGAGAGTTGCACAATAGATATTTTGTTAAGGTCTTCCGACCTGAAGTTTCAACCATAAACCTATTTCTAGTAAAAAAGGTTTGAATATGCATGTGAAACCATCTATAAATACTGTAATTTTTTTTAGCATTTTTTGAACTAAAAATAAAGAAAACAAATATGACTGTTGAATTATGCTTCAGTGTTCAGAAGTTGGAATACTGGATAAAAAAATTAAATGGTGGAATTGACTTTTGTTAAGAACTGTGCTGGTTAGTGCAACATACTCAAATCTACCATCTGTAAGGGACAGGAACTGATGTTAATTGCTAATGTGAGAAACACAAAAATTAATGGGATTAAGGAACTCCATTGCAAGCTTTAGGACAGGATACAGTCTCACTGGCTGTTGTCTTGCAGTCTACCAGTATCCATGTCAAATAGCATGAAAACTATGTTCCCCATGTGTTACCACACCTTTTTAAAACCTGCTTCAAATAATTTGTGTTGTGTGATTTTTCTCACATGACTGAAAAGAAATGCATTTATGTCTTGGAGTATAACAAGTTTAATCAACTCCTCTTTCAACTATACTAAGAATAATATGTGATTTCTTGTAATTCAGAAAACTTGCTAGGCTAAGGGAAATTATGTGAATTTTGACTGCCATTCAATAAAAGCACTTAATTCCCCTTTTATACATGTATATTCCTTTTTCTGTGGTATTGTGTTGCAATATTTCTAACAAGACAAGCTGACACCAGCACACAGTTAATTGTTTATCAGCAGAAGTGTGTATGTGTTAACTCTCCCATTAAACCCTCAAAGGTGAAGACATAACACATTGCAACTCCTACTTAGCACATGTAGATCCAGTGTTTACCCTCATGGACATGATAAAATGAAGACAATTATAGAAGGAACTCAGGCTGTCAAAAAATCCTACTGATTTTATTTACCCACTCACCTATGATGGGAAAGAGTGAAAGCGTTTAATATTCTGCTATGATGAGAATTCACAAAGCATATAGTGCTGAAATTACAAATTAAAAGTTTTATGTCTTTCTCTTTGTGCAAATTTAATGAAAGCTTTTTATCACTATTAACATTTTTGTGGGCTATTTTATTGGCATGGTCCTGTAAAAATAGAGTCAGATGCTTTAAATGACAAAAAGAGATGACATATGAAATGTCTTACATCTCACAAGTCAAATGTCTTACATCTCACTTCTGTATATACCCAGTACTTACAAACATGAGGAGGGAAAAAATGAAATCCAATCCTCTGCGGAATCCTGGCTTTTGTCTGGTTTTTGTAACTGTAACTTCTCCTTAGAGAGCAGAGTACAATGCCAGGAGATGGGAAACAGTGTGTGTATATTCTTTTGAATGATGCACCAGAAACACTTCAAGAACAGGTTTGTTGTCCTGGTCGCTCTGATAAAATGCATGTGCCTCTGCTGAAATAGGCACTACACAAGTCTTTTCCAGGGTGCCTGCCTTTCCTAGTAGAAGAAAACACAAATTTTGCTCCACTGAAACTTTATCCAAAAATACCTCAAATACTATTGCTGCAAAATATGTTTTCCAAATGGTGATATTAAAGACAAACAAAGATTTGATTTTCAGCCTTTTCAGGAATGGCAAACTAACAGCATGATATTAGAATAAGATAAGCTGTAATTTCCTGTTACGATAACTCCAGGATTCCCAAAAGAATTACTCAGATTTAGTGCCTAGGTCAAGACTTTTTAAAAATACTTCATTTCTAGTTTGCAAGCTGAGGCCTTAAGGGAGGCCTCTGATATCCAGAAAGTCCTTTCTGTCTGTTCTTTAACTTTCCCTCTAAGACATCTCTTTTAATGGTCAGGAAGGGAATACTCTCTTTCAGTTTTTAAAAACCTTGACCTTTTTTAAAACATATATACAAAGAGTCTCATTTTCATGGCAATGTGATTTAAAGCTATGCTGCAACCGACTAACCACTGCAGCGTGATAGTCTTAAAAACAGACAGTTTAAAGAAGAACTGTTGAATTATGTTGATTTCGAAAAGCACTCCTCCTGGATTCAAGAGTCTGTAGGGGAATAGTAGATTTACTGTTAAGCTCTTGTTAATTCTGAACCATCACATTGAGTAGGCTGGTCGCCAAACTAAAAGGCATTATAGGTAGGATAGAGAGCAAACATTCCTTAAGCTGTATTTAATAGGCTAAAGTGGTTGAGCTGCTTGATTAAAAAAAAATCCACATACTTAGAGTTATAGAATCACAGCCTATCCTATGTTGGAAAGGGCCAACAAAGATCATCAAAGCCCAACTCCCAGCTGACTCCTATAGTCACTGTTAGTATAATGAACTTTCTAAAATTGCAAAAAAAAAATTTTCATGTACACAATGTTAATAAATGCTCTGCAGTAGACAAATCTGTCAATTTATGTTTTTCTACCTCTTTTAGCCACCTTTAGTACACATTGTACTGTTGGCACATTTTATGTGCATATTACACACCTGCACTTTACAGATGTTTTATACAATAATGCATTATTTATGGATAAACTTTGCTTTGGATTAATTATGAATCAGATTCTGACTGTAATGGGACTGCTTAAACATGTATACTTAATTATACAAGTACAACAAACAAGTATGTGCTAGACTGTGACCTGAACAATCAAGTCAAGCAATTTAAATTATCACCGGAATTGCAGAGATACTTACAATAATGAAAAAACATATTTTAAGCAGAGGTGTCAGAAAAGCAACATTCAAACAAGATAATTGCTAATTAAAATTTTTCCTGTTTGGAATAAAAAGTATTTAGTGTATTAGCAATAATCTAGTATTTGGTTTCTTTAAACACTAGTGATTTAGTCACTGGTTAGGGGTTTAAACATATCCTGTTTCTTGGCATGTTTCTGATGCCACACTATTTGAGTTAGAAAAGTTCAATGGGTAATGTTAGCTTAGCTGTGGAACTCTGATATTTAATAGGATTTTATGAAAATACTAATATGTGCACATGGCAGCAAGTTCTCAGAGTTAAATATTGTCATAGAAGGGTCTTTTGATTCCATTATAATCCTTATTTCATTTAACAATTAAACAAATAGAGCCTGCTGAGGCCACTATTGAATAATGATAATGAAAAAGTTTCTTCACCCCTTGATCTTCAAAAAGTTCTGGCAAAAAAAGTATATAGTTCACATTAGTTTGGAAACCTGAGCTCACAGGGATAAACAAGGTCTCTATGAGTAGCTCAGTATTGGTGACCATTTCTGGGATTTGGTTTATCAGAAATGCCTCCTTTTGCATATGGAAGTATTTTTCAACTTTAAGCATTCAAAATGCATCTGAATAAACACTGGACTAATTTCGAGAAGTCCTGTAAAACAGAATAGCACAATAAGAGAAATCAGTGAATGGTCGTCAGAAGAAATCTCAGATTTGGAGAATTTTCTACCTCCATCTTGCTAGAACAACCTTTCTAGTTTAGTGTCTGATACAATGCTTTTATCAGTAATTAAATTTCAATATTTAGAATAATGAGTAATACTATTCTATTGATTATATATCAATATAATCAATATTGTATTGATACTATTGTATTGATTTGTGTTGCATGTATCCTTAAGACTAGATTCAGAAGTTTTACTCCTTCCTTTGTATTGAATCATCACCTTCACAGTCAAAAGTCTGGCAATGTCTGCAGGTCTTGATATCCTTCATTACAGAACTGCCAAGGCTAAAGTTAAATGATTTCTTTTTCAGTGTTGTTATCTTGTTTCTATACAGGTTGGACAGATAAGCAGAGTTGAAAAGGGTTTTTTAAATCCTTTTTTCTCTGAGATAGAACTGATCAAATTCTGCTAAAGGCCTTAAAACTGGTATTCTGCTATGTGCATCTTAAGCAGCAAGATGACAGAAAGCACACATCTTCCTCACCAGTTTACTGGCAAGGCTCTGTGACAAATGGTTCTAATAACATTTTGTACCTGTTTTGTATAAATTTCATCCTTCAGAAGAAACAGTGGCGCTCCTAATGACAAAGTGTCTCCTGTAGGGATGGTTTGTGATGTCCACATCTGTAGATACAATACTGGATAATATTTAATATTCAAGGCTGACTTTTCCTAGTTAAATGGTGAGGCAAGATGTTCAGGCAGGAGATGTTCGCATAAGGGCAAATGGTAAAATCACTGTATTACCAGCTAATGAAAACCACAAACTTTGGCTATTTCAGATCTTAAGTTTAATATTAATGTCCCTAGTGTTTACAGTCTAAATCCTGCAAATGTGCATGTTTTCATTTAACCTTAAGCTTTGTTAATAGTTTGATTAAATTGGGACCATATATGAGTCACATAGCAGTGTCAGGTTCTGAACTTTCTTGACCCACTAGAAATGATACTGAATAAGTAATATTCTCCAAAGAGCTTCATACTTTCCTCCAATTTGCATCACACCTTATGGCTCCTTTTCTGCTGCAGTGACAAGCAGCATTGTCCAGATTGCAGACAGAATATCGAAGAAAACGCTCTCACCACCACCGGCCTGTAAGTTGGTGGCTGCTTAATGACCGTGGGGACACAGATGTCAATCTCTTCAGGAAGAGGAGATTGAAATGAGGGCTCTCATGCTCCAAGTGATCTAAACAGTAAAAACAGACAGAAGATATCATCCCTGTGGCTCTATGTTTTGGAGGAGTGAGATGTCCCTCGGTGTTCTGAAGAAAAAGGTGGAGGTGCCTTCTTTTGGAGACTGCTCAGAGCATTGGGCCGCCACAAAGGTACAATGGCACTGCTCTGCAGTCCGTGGTAAAGCCCTGGAGCTGGGGAACAGAACTGAAAATACACCCTTCAATCCAGTGTTTTCAGCACCAGTATGCTGAAGGGGGATATTT